ACTTTTAGAGCCTGCCATATATTCTTTCTTACAATACTTGCACATAGTCCTATCTTTCCCATCAATACCCTTAATCTTTTCAGAATGATCCCAAGCCTTTGATGTTGTTCTCCAACTACTACTAGTTTTGGCCAAGGGTGGTCTAGGAGGAGGAGCATTAGATTAGGCAAAGAGGTCAATAGAAAATGATTCGGGCTCAACATTAAGACTCACAAAAAATGTTTCTTTACTTAGAGGATCCATGACCAAAAGATTATCAAATAAATTGCCAACAACCAATAAAAAATCATTCAAAATGTGCTTTTCAAATCCATGCTCTTTTTAAACAAACAACCATCAGACTCTGGATTGTTATTTGATAACTAAACCAAGCATATAAAGTGGTATTTGCAGAAGCTTGGGCATGAAGATTGTTATTTTATGCTTTGTTTCTTATTTCCTTTTTCTTTGATATTCAAATTGATGCCTCTCCTTTTTTCTTTTCTTTTTCTTCTACCTTAATGCCTTTGTCACTGTCACTTTGTCTATGTTTGAACAACATGTTAAATGACATATGAAGATAAAATCAGATTATGCTCTTTCAGTGTATTTTCTCTTTCAAAGTAGATTTTGATAAGTGTTTGGACCGCGTGAACTTCAGAACAGATTGTGAAGAAGGATCAATAAGTCAGATAACAGATTAACTTCAGAACAAATTATGAATTGTAAATTACAGAACAGATTAATTTCCTTAAACTACCATCAATCAGAGATCTCACATGGTCCAAACAAACTAATATTTTTTATATAACAAATTAAATTATATAATAGATTAATTTCAGAACATAATAGAACAAATTAAATTACAAATAGATTGTGAAGAAGGATCAATAAGTCACAGAACAAATTAACTTCAGAGCAGATTGTGAACTTCAAAACAGATTATGAATTGTAAATTACAGAACAGATTAATTTCCTCAAACTATCATTAATCAGAGATCTCACATCGTCCAAACAAACTAATATTTTTTTAAAGAACAAATTAAATTATAGAACAGATTAATTTCATAACAAAATAGAACAGATTAAATTACAGAACAGATTGTGAAGAATGATCAATAAGTCACAGAACAGATTAACTTCAGAACAGATTGTGAACTTCAAAACAGATTATGAATTATAAATTACAAAACATATTAATTTCCTCAAACTACCATCAATCAGAGATCTCACATGGTCCAAACAAACTAATGTTTTTTACAGAACAGATTAATTCCAGAACAGAATAAAACAGGTGAAATTACAGAACAGAACAGATTAAATTACATAACAGATTAATTCCAAATTTCATTTTTAAACAAACAAACTACCATCAGAGATCTCAAAACAGATTAATAACAAGTCAGAGAATAGATTAATCTAATATTTTTTTCAATTCTAGCCATACTTTATCAGTGAACAAATTAATAACAAGTCCAATATACAATGTAATAACAAGTCCAATATAGAACAGATTAATCTAATTTTTTTTCACTCGTGGATGCAAATTAATCTAATATTTTTTCTATGAAGTCCCTCACAAAATCCACTGCAGATGACAAGAAAAATAAACCAAACCTCTGTGGTTTTCTCTCTGTAAGCTTCCTCTCTCTGTGTGTAGAACCCTAACATTGTCAATCTAACCACCTCTCTAGTTTTAGAACTAAAACAAAACAAAAAAAAAATAATAGATTAGACTCTAAAAGATTAGAACTGGAACAAAAAAAAAATAGATTAGACTTAGTGTAGATCGATCATCGTATAGAAGAAAAGAAGAAGAGAAGAGAAAAGAAGAAGAGAAGAAGAAGAAGAGAGAGAGAGAAAGATACCTCAATGTAGATCAATCGCCATGTAAATCGATCGCCGTTTACTATAAATCGTCGGACGATGGGTAGGGTAGAGAAAGAGAGAAGAGAGAGAGTGTGTGTGTCTGTGTGTGTGAGTGAGTGTTGTGTTCTGTGTATCGAAGAAAATTAGGGCAAAATGAGGCATATCAGAAAGAAAAAAAGGGGCTGAGGCGTAAAAGAAAAAGAAAAAAAAATTAATAATAAAGACACGGTCGGGTGGGGTTTGACGAGTAAATCGGTAGATCACCCGCCAACCGCCCCGAACCCGAAAAATCACATAAATGGGCTCGTACTCGCCCGCCACGTGTCACGTATCCATCCGTCGCTAGTCGGGTCGGGTCAGATGTGACAGGTCGGTGGATCCGCTATATTTTGGAAGAAATGTGATATGTTCAAAATATTTGCACTTTTATCATTGTATTTTTTTTTTATCTCCTCATTAAAAATAAGTAAAATGATATACATATAGATTTTTTTCATTCACAATTTAAGCCCAACATGACATGACAATAAAATTATTGTAATTAATAAATTATAATAATAGACATTTTAACTTTTAATGAATACATATAAACGAGATATAACAACATATATTATCTTTATCCCAAATTGTTTGTTCAGTACGAAAAATGAAAACTTGAAAAAATATTTTTTTTGGGTCAAAGTTTTAAATTTTTGTTACACAAATTAAAAATACTTGATGAGATGTTTCAAATTGGTGAATTTTTATTAACTTAATACAAAAATATAAAAAACAATTATTTTGAGTTTTCCATCCATATTTCTTTAATGATTTTTGAATATTTTAATTAATTCTTTACTTTATGGATTCACTTAATTTATATACTCTTAAAAAGTATAAAATTTTTATAAAAATATTTTAAAACATAATTGAATATAAAAAATATAAAAATAAATACATTCTCGTATTTTGTTGTGTTCACTTAATTTTTATTTTTGTATACATTTTATACTTTTTAACTATATTTAGATTATAAAAAGTAAAAAAAAAATACAAATTTAAAAAGCATTTTTTTTTATGTTATTGTAAATTTAAAAAATAAAGTGATTATTTATAAATTATCAATTTTTATACCAAACAAACAATTTAGGATTGATATTCAAAAATCGAAACTCAACTCTTGATTAAAAATGTGTTTGGGAAGTGTTTTTTTTTTTGTTTTTTTGCTAAAAAAATATGAAAAGACAAAATTGGTTAAAAAAAAAAAACAAACAAATTCAGATAAAATGTCATATCAAACTCATAATTATTTCATTTTTTCTCTCACAAACATCACATCTAACTACAAAAAAATTCAATTATCTTCCAAAATATAAAAATTTTAACCTCATAAAAATAATCAAAAATTAAAAAAATCTATTAAAATAACAATTTTCCAAACATTCACGGTGCGTTACAAATTTTACGACATTGGGCCTCCGTTTGGGAAGTGGGTTGGCTTTTTGGCTTTTTAGCTTTTTGGCTATTTTAGCCTGGGCTATTTTAGCCTGGTTTGGGAAGGGTTTTTGGCTTTTTGACTTTTTTGACTTTTTTTGTGAGAGAGGATTGTAATGATTATGGGTTGGATTTGATGTTTTGTTTTTTGTGGCTAAAATAGTCTATTTTATTTTTTGTGGCTATTTTAGCCAAAAAAGTCTGGGCTTTTTCTTGCCAAACGGAGGCTGGGTACCCCACACGTGTGGTGAGTCTGAGTCCCATCGATAATTGCTTTTAAAATTAAGAAGCTTAAAATAAAAATAATAATAATAGAATATGGTATGATAGTTTGTTTTGGATAATAATCAAACACAAAAGCAAGTTTTAAAGATTCTTTCTCAATATCAATATCCTGATACTTTCCCCTCATACGTGAAAGCCATGGAATGCGTATTACGCACTCCGCGTACTGCAGAAGCCATCTGTCTCACCTAGTCTTTTTCCACAAGATAAATAAATAAATAATTCCACACTTTACTCTTCTTTTTATTTTATTTTTAGAATAAAATTCAGCATTTTTTTTTTAAGGTGTAAGAGCATCTCTAACGGTGAATCAAATTTTTTACTAAATTTGAATAAAAAAACCAATTTTCTCAATTTGATATGACTTGCTCTAACTGTATATCAAAAGGGAAGGGTCGACTGGTTGGTCGACCAGTAAGGGCAATTTTTTTTTTATCTGTTTGAACCTTTTTTGACCGGTTTGAACCTACCTATTTGAAAGGGAACCGGTCGACTGGTTGGTCAATCGGTCGGACAACCGGTTGGTTGACTGGTTGACCCACCTCAACGGTAACGCACAGTGAAATGGTGAAATCTGGAGCCTGTTCTCACTTTGATGAATTTTTTGTTCCATTCTCATTTTGATATACCAATTTGGTGAAACCATTAGAGTTCAAAAAAGTGACTTTTTTACCAAAATTCAAATCTGATGCAAAGTTTGATGAACCGTTGGAGATGGTCTAGTAAGGTACATATAAAACTTGAGAATGTACTATTGCATTAAAGCATAACTTGAGAAATTCATATTTTGAAACATATTTTATAAATATAAAGTTGTTTTAAACTTATTAATTAAATTTAGATTTATTTTTGAAGACGCATTTTGATAGCATAATTTATGTGGGTGTTAATTTTTGATCTCATAATCAAATATATCTTTCTGTTAAGATTTAGAAAATTTAGTTAGAGAGTAGATGGAAGAATAGATTAAGGTACACACCTGCACATAAGAAGCCAAGAAATATTGCGGTGACTCGTACACTCAGATCAATAACTTATCTCTAAAATATATCAAATAAGTGAACAATCCATAAGAAAAAAACACAAGCATAATTTACACCTACAGGTGCCTTACGTTTATTATGAAAAATGTTAATCAATACTCTTAAAATATTATTTAATATTAGAATTTGTGTAAAAATATATTTAAAAAATGAAAAAAAATAAATTAACGAGAAGTGTTTTTTTTTAAATGTCTTATTTTCTTATGAGAAAAAAACTAAGCAACAAAACATGCTTACACGTCGATTCCGTCATAACTAACGGTTCAAGTGTAAACACAGAGCAGTCACACCAACAGTCACTGACGGAGTTATTAGAACCGTCTAAAACAACCACACTCCTCTCTCTCTCTCTCTCTATCTAGCAAATCGGACGAAGAAGAATCAGAAGTTCTGAACCAATCTCTCTCTACTCTCTCTCTCTCTCTCTCTGTATATATATATATATTTATACAGAGACTTTACTCTCTCTTTGATCTCGCTCTAGCTTTCTCTCTCATCTGTGGCGCCTTCGCGATAAACAGGTATGGTTCGATCACGTCAATGTCCGGGCCTCATTTGTTTCAAATTGGGATAGTTCATGTGTGCGATGACACTAATTTGGAAATCATGATGTTTTCGCGGTGATAATATGTGTGCGATGACACTAATTTGGAAATCATGATGTTTTCGCGGTGATAATTGGTGTTTTTCATTATTTTTGACCTCGATTACTATCTCTTCGCATCTAATTTCGGATCTCTCTGACCTCTGTTGTGTTTGATTCTTCTCATTTTTAGGGTTTTGGGATGAAATCGATTCTAATTTGTATTGCTTTTTTTGGTTTTTGTTCAAATTTTATGTTGTAGTCATATATTGGAAATGACTTGCCTAAAAGAAGATATGGGTAGCGATTGCTAGAGATAGAACTGTTTTATCAAATCGGTTGAGTATGCTTTTGTTGAATAGTGTTTTGTTGGTTTGACTATCATTAATGTTCTTGACTTGTAAAGCAATTTGTGCCTTTTTTTAATATCTAGATTATTGGGGTTGAGGCAAAGTTGGAACCCTAAATTCAATTAGATTTGGGAAACACACCCTTTTGTTAGCAGAAGTGAATTTTATTTTTTAGCTGATGACTTCGTCGATTGGTTGTGTCGGGTGTTTCTATTTTGTGTTTGGTCCTTTCATTTGATTCTTCTATGGGAGTGCTTTCCTTTTATAGGAATATATTTTTGGCAGAAATATGCAACTCATAATAATAGCTTTCCGTAGCGGAGAATTTTTCATAACGAAGTTGGGTGGCCGGCTGTAATTCTCTGTTTGTTTTCATACAGAACAATAAGTTAAAATCTTGAAACAGTTTAAGCATTTTCTACATTCTACCAAGACAAAAGAATAATAGTATGTATGTTAGCAAATATGTTTTCTGATTTAATTTGTATGCTTTGCAATTGCATAAGATGTTTGGCAGTTTGTGCTGTGACACAGTTCTCTACATTTATGAATAACCATATGAGACCCTTTTTTATTTCACTAAATATTTCTGTGTGTAAGTTCATTATATACTTTTTTGAATAATAATCGATCATCCTATTGATGGTTGGCTTCCTTTATATTAATTTCCAGATGAACAAGTAGGTTTTGGAACTTCCTCTAGGAGAAATTCACTTGGAGGTACAAGTGAAAGCAATATTTGTTATCTTTGTTGATTTATGTGGTCTATTTGATTATGGGGTCCGCTTGTTGTGTGGCTGCTAGAGACAGAACTATAACAAATGGACCAAGCAACGAGGTTTCACAAAGGAATGTTAGATATTCACCATCATGGAGCTTTCGTTGGGATAACCGAGGACGAGTAGCAGGGGAAGAGACTTCTGTGAATTGGCTTTCTGATGGAGCCAGCAGGAAAAATGATAGATTGGACATTAAATATGGAACGACAGTAGAAACTACATATGCATCAGAAGAAGGAAGTCCATTAGACAGCTTTCGGACACTGACGTGGCAGAAGTCTCCAATCTCTGAAAGAAATTCTGGAATTTTGAGGCTTCCTTCATCAGGTAAATCTTCAAACAATGCAGGAATTTTGGTCATTTGCTTTTCCTTTTGTAATTGATGTGTGCCTAAACAGTCCAAAACAAAATGTGCTTGAGCACATGTTTGCTTTGGTTTGACCCCAAATCAGCTTTTAACAAGTATTAAAAATATATATATATATATATATTCACAAAGGTGTCTTGAGGGGTGTCCAGACATAGAACACATGTCCGTGAAGTGTACCCAACGTATCCTGCCCGCAAAAACACAGGGGCAAAGCTGCCTACCTACTATCTCTCCCAAACTTTATTGTAAGCAGTAGCCTTGGGGGGTGGGGTGGTTTGGTCCTTGCATGATTTTAGCTTTACATCAACCAAACTTGCTGCTGTCTTGATGAGTTTATGTCCTTGACCGGAAGAAGTTTGCTGGCACTGCTATGAAACAAGTTATGCTCAATGTTCTGGAAGTACAAGTGGAAAGATCTTTTTTTGTAATAGAAGATGTGGATTATTATTGTAGATTTGGGGTATCAGATGTGTATTGGATACCTTGGCCATTGGTTTCCATGGACCATAATTTTCAGTCCATTTAAGCCTGTGCAAAGTAATTGTTGACTCCATGCAAAGCCTGAAAATCAGAATAAGATTTAGCATTGATTGGCATTAACTTTAATTCTAGTCATTTTATTTTATGAATGATGATTTCTAGATGGAGAACTAATTGGAGGATGTGGATCTGTATAGCCAACCCCAAGTATTTGGACAAAGGCTAGTAGAGTTGATGATGCTAGGTGGAGAATTGAGAATTTGATGTGTTAGGTTTTGATTATGATTTAGGAAGAGTTTATGAGAATTTTTTTATGTTTGTATGTGCGAGCATGTGCTTGAGTACGTGTATTGGATGAAGGAAATGTGGAATTTTTTTTGTTCTACTCAACATCCACCATATTCTTGAGCCATAAGAATTGATGTTGACATTGTATAGTAGTGAAATTTTCTAGAAAATATCTGATCTCATCAAAATATGACTATTTTTTCAATTTTCATTGCACATTTTGATCTTATAGATATAGATGTTTTTGCCTGCTTAAGGAAGATAACCTTTTTATATACATGAAGTCCATAATGGCAGATATTATATTTTGGCTTGCATTAGACTTCACAGATGTTATTCATTTGACTTCAAATCTGTTTTCTTATGACTGGAAGTCTGGACTAGTTCTGATAGGTGTTACATTCTGGGGACAACACACCAGCATTTCATTTGCTGCTCTTCTTCTATTCACTTCATCAATAACTCCCATTTCATACTTCTTGTATGTACCGCCATATTTATTTGGCTTATTTTATTTTATTTTGTCAATATGCTATCTACTGGAATTGAAAATAATGGAATGCCATTTCGTTTTCCCTTGAATTATGCCTTTCATCCGCTTTGGAATAACCTCTCATCTCTCAGGGTGTATGTAATACTCTCCTGGTTTCCTTTTCATTATTTTATTTTATTTTATTTTATCAATATGCTATCTACTGGAATAAAAAATAATGGAATGCTATTTTGTTTTCCCTCCGATTGTGCCTCTCATCTGCTTTGGAATAACCTCTCATCTCTCAGGGTGTATGTAACACTCTCCTGGTTTCCTTTTCATGAGAGGTGGAAGAAAGAGAATTATGAGTCTTCATTATTCTTTGTTATGCCTTAGTTTCGGTCTGTATTTTGAAAGCAGATTATCAGTAAGAAATGTGGCCTTGGGTGCTTTGCATAGGGCCTTAATGCGAGGGTCTTTTCTTTTTTGCACACCAAATTTGATTATTCGGATTTTGATGCATCAGCAGCTCCACATTTTGTGTCGTATTTGATATTTTTTTGCTTGTGTGTTGCAGATCAATCAAATTCTAAAAATTTTCCTACAGAGGTATGTGTAGAATAGTTGTATTTTTTTTAGGGAAAATAACCAATAAGTCTTATTTTGCTCTTAAAATTACTATTAAGTCCTATCAATTTTTAATATGGGCAAGTCCTTTTTGTAATAAAAAGTTCCCAAAGGATTTATTGCTCCAAAATGGTGTATTTCCTCCCAATTTTAGCCTTATTTTAATATGAATAACAATTCTAACTTAATTACAATTTAAAATCTTAATTGTAAAAATTATTAATATTATATTAAAAAAATAATAAATAACAATTGAATCAAAACAAGTATAGTATAAAATATTATTCCAAATTATGAATTTTTTAGTGCAAAAAATCTAAAAAATTAAATTCTATTAAAATGATAGAGAGTTATAAAAATAATACTCTGAAAATTTTATATATTTTGGTGAATCTTATATTTATGACTTTGTTTATGAAAATTCATTTAATTTGAACAATTAAAAATAATTTAATTATAAATTTTAAATGAATTAAAATTATTTATGAATTTTTTGGTTCATATTTTAGTGAGAAAGGTAAAATTAAAGTAAAATATACTATTATGAACAATTGAATTTTTTATAACAATTATAAAAAAGTAGGACTTATTTGTTAATATTGAAATTTGATATAACTCAGTAGTAATTTTCAAAACAAAATAGAACTTATTGATAATTTTTTCATTGTGGTTTATAATTTTTTTAAATGCAATATCATGATTTTTACAATTAAAAAATATTATTTTACTTATATTAAAAATATTTATGAAATTGTTAATGAGGGGTAAAATTGAGATAACATCCATCATTATGGAGCAATGAACTTTTTGGAAATATTTTATGAAAAATAGGACTTGGTTGTCCATATTGAAACTCAATAGGACTCAATATTAAGAGCAAAATAGGGCTTATAGTTGTTTTTCCTTTTTTTTATTATCAACATACGCACTTTGTGCCCTCCACAAGTTGCAAATCTCCTTTTCCTTAGACTCACATCATCCTTTTTTCTTTTTCTTTTTAGGCAAAGGAGTCAACAGAATCCCCTGCAGCTTCAGATCTGTCTCCCACGAAACTGTCACCTTCGGTGCATTCAATTTCATCATTGTCTACATCCCCTTTGTCATCCCAAAGCCACCTTCCTGTGAGCTCAACTCCATCACGATGGCCCCGTCATTCTCCAGGACACCAGCTATTACGACAAGTATCTGATAGCCGTGTTCCAGGACATAAATCATCAAACTTTTCAATTTCTGAAGAAATATCTTTTCCTCTCCCAGGATGGAGCAATGAATCAACCAGGGGCTCTATTGGTGGTTCTTCAGATGGTTGGTCTATACCTGCCTTCCCTGAGCTCATGGCTGGTTCTCATGGAGAAATGTGGTCTTTTGATAGTGAGTCCACGGGCTTCAATCGTGAGAAAACAACCAGATCTAGTAACCGACTCTCTGTTTCTCCCTCTACTGATATGCAAACCTGTGGGTTTTGCTCGAAGCTTTTAACTGAGAAATCTTCATGGGGTACCCAGAAAATTATTGCTACTAATGATCTTGCTGTGGTTGCTGTTCTAATTTGTGGCCATGTGTACCATGCTGAGTGCTTGGAGAATATGACACCTGAAATCAGCAAGTACGACCCTGCTTGTCCGGTTTGTACTTTTGGGGAGAAGCAGGCCCTGAAATTGTGTGAAAAAGCATTAAGAGCAGAAATGGATTTGAAGGCTAGAAACAAGAGATCAAAGAACCGGATTGTGAGTAGTGATTTTGATGGTGATTCTGTTGTGTTTGATGGTCACAAAATGAGCGGACTTGATGAAAAAAATCTCAAGATGATCTCAAGTTCCAGGATGAAGAGCTCCTTAGGTAAGCCTTTCTTGAAGCGACACTTCTCATTTGGGTCAAAAGGGACTCGGCCCTTGTTAGAGAATCAGTCTGCTCGGAAGAAGGGATTTTTCTGGTCGAAGTCCAGCAAGGAGTGAACTGCTTTATGGCTTTTAAGAGGTGTGCGCCTCTGTCTTGTACATATATCAGTTTTATCTACACATATTACGCTATATTTGATTTCTTTTTTTTTTTCTTTTTTTAAATAAAAAATTGGCTTTTTTCCTCTATATTCTGTATTCAAACCGTGAAGGTTCATAATAATCATGTATTACTTTAGCTTAGAATTGGTAGTTTTATGTATGCAGGTTCCACGATTGATCCTACGGCGCAAATCTCGTGGGCTGGTGAACTATAAAAGAGGCAGATCATCTTTCTATCTCCATCGGGATCTTATTAATAAACTTCTCTCCATTCGTAGTCTGCAATTTCAAGCAGGTATAGCTTTGCTTCGGAAACTTACACTGTAAAGAAGAAGGGGGAAAAAGAACACATAAAGGAAATATCAATTTAATATATAGAAAAGAACAGTAGAAGGAAAATGGATGATGTGTCTATTCATCTTACTCTCTCTTTCTTTTTTCTTTTTTTTGTACATTTTAATTTGTTCTTTTGCATGGATGAGTTCATGGAAATTATCTTGAAGAATTTCTGTATTGACTTAGATAACTCGACTCTTTTCATGAAAGTGACATATTGGCCACTCTGTCAATGGTCACCTGTAGGTTGTGCTTGGATTTTCGATTTAAGGATGGGATTTGTATTGGAAAATGAAAATGCAAGGGTTGTGGATGCTTTAAATCTATATTTTTGTCACTCTTTTTGTTCTCTTTTGTTTTCCCTCTGGAAATTATTCTCTGAATCTAAGATCTGAACATAAATCGTAGTCGTGTTTGACAAAAGGATTGGATTTTCAATAGTATGGCATGATTTCTTGCATAGGGAGTGAAGAATTGTGATGTGGAAATGAATAATGTTGTTTACATCTACTTTGACTGGGGTAGTGAACAAAATCAGCCTCTCTCAATGTTGGAGAATCAAGATAATGGTTCTCCAAGGAATATGCTCAATTCTTGGTAGACTATGGATACTGGCCGGATGGAATGGAAGAAAAATCAAAAAAATCGACTAAACTAATTGCATCGAACCAAACTAGTTATATTTGGTCGATTTTTTAATATGAATCGGTCTGTATGATTTTTAAAATTAATTTTTTTTTAATTTTCGGTTTGGTACCGGTTTAGACACCTTGCGCACCGAATTAAATCAAAACTGACCCAATGTTTTGCTTATTAAACATAATATATGTTAAATATATAATGATGTTGGTTGAGTACAAAGTTTAGTTGATTTACTTAAGACTTTTTCAGATTATATTTTCTTTCTAATTCTTTTGTTTGTATTTTTGTGAAATGGTTGGATTGAATATTGAAGTAATGTACAAATGGTCAATTCAATATTTTTATATATATTATTTAATATATTACATATTTAAGAAGTAACTCAAATTTGAAATGTCGTAAATTGAAAATTACACTGAGGCGAACCGTTTGAATTGGTGGTGTTCGGTGCAGTTTAGTGAAAAATTCAATTTGTATCGATTCTTAATATGATAGAATTGACATTATCAATTTAGTATAAAATTTTATTTAAATATTGATCGTTTCAAAACGATTACATCTCTACTGGCTGATGATGCATGAGTTGCTTATGTTATATTTTGATTAATCATTTGTATGGTTCTTTTTTTTGTTTTTTTAATATTGATGAATCATTTCAAGTTTTTTTTTTTTTTTTATGCATTAAACAACACATGAATTTATTTGGGAATGGAGATGTGTTTTTGTCGTTTGGAATGGATTGAATGGAAAAATAATTATTGATTACTTACTCAAACTAGAATCACTCTTCTAAACTAATCGGCAATCTAATCTTCATGCATAATTAGCAATCTAATCTGAAGTCGGGTTTTGATTTGAAGAGGGTAACGGCCTCTTTTGGAAAGAAATTAAAAGTTAATTTTTTTACTTTTAATTTCTTTTAAGTCATATTAATTCTTAAAAAAAAATAACTTTTAATTTACTTTTCAAAATAATTCCTTAGCCTAACGGAGATGTTTTAGAAAAGCACAATACTGCTCCATTTTGACTTTAACAATGGATTTGTTTGGGTTAGCGTGATAGTATTTAAAAATTGGTAATAAAAAGTTTAATGTAAAAGTACATTTCTCTTTTAATTTTTGAATAATCAATTTTTTAAAACTTATTTTAAATTATTTATGTCAGATAAGATACATGACATAAAATTAAAATAAAAAAGAAGACCATATGCAACTCGCTCCCACAAACGGTACGGTATCCATGAATGGAAAACAGGCATCCAAATATAAATTTTTTTTTTACAAATTAATTTTGAATCATCTTTAAAATAAAAAAAAATCCTAGACAATTTTGAAATTTTAAAAAAATTAGTCAAATTTTAAAAAGTTCACTAAAACGAAATTAATATCTAAAAAAAATATTTTTTTAATCTTTTATGGACTATTTTAAAAAAAATTAAAGATATTTTTATTTTAAAAATTATCTAGACAAATCTAAAAAGTTTTTTTAAAAAAAAATTAAACTGATTTGAAAGTTCATTTAGTCCTATTAATTTTTTTATTAACTACATGAGATAAAACCAAATAATTAAAATATTTTTTATTTAAATAGTCAAAATTTATGTTTTTTTTTTTTTTTTGCTGAAATGAAAAAAATTATATTTATGTATTTGAATTTATTCAATTCCACAAGGTGAACCAGTGGCCACCCGTAGGCTCTATGCGGTGCTTCATGGAGTATTTCTAAACTTCTGCTATTCCATTTCCCAGCAGCTGTGTGCTAAAACACACGTCAATCTCCACTCTCTCCTCTTTCATTCAACCCCCTTGTCTCTCTACAATCTCTCTCAGTTCTCTCTCTCTCTCTCTACTCCTTTTTTCCCTGCTTATTTAAAACTCTACATAACTCTGCAAAATGCTCTCTCAATCTCACTTCCTCTCTCTAAATCCCTCTTTCCTTCCTCTCTCCTCCTCAAAACCCTCCCTCTCTCTCCTCTACCATCGATTCCCAACCCTACCATTCCCTCCTTCAACCCTAACTCTCCACATCTCTCACCCTACCAAATCTTCTCCAACAATGATTTCAAACTCTAATCTCTCAAATCAAAGCGAAACAGTCAACTTAGGTATCCAACACTCCGAGCTCGATCGATTCGCCGGAGTTGGCAACGAGATCGCCGACGCAGCTGGAGAAGTCATTCGGAAGTACTTCCGCAAGAGCTTCGACATTCTCGATAAAGAAGATTTCAGTAAGTTCGAATCGAATAATCGGATTAGAACCTTTTGTTGAACGATTTTGTGTGTTGTGATGATTGTTTGATGTTGTGTGTTTGTGTGTGGTGGACTTGGTTTAGGTCCTGTTACGATTGCTGATCAATTGGCTGAGGAAGCGATGGTTTCGATTATACAAGCGAATTTTCCTTCTCATGCAATGTAAGTGAGATTATTTTCAGCATTGTGTGTTTTCATGAATTTCATCTCCAGAAACAGAAAATAAAATAATGGCATACGCTGCTCAGATGTAGTAATTAGATGTGTGAATGTTAGATTGTATTAGACAACTTCTCACTCAGAAGAGATATACATAATTTACACTATTGTAAATGTGTAATCATTCTTTCCATTTTTGTGCCAAATGAATAGATATAAAAGGAAAAGAAATTTGAGTTCTAAATTTACATTCTTCAGTTTATGAAAAGTTAGAGGCAAACCGAGCTTTTAGGTGTTCATGCTTGTTTATTAAGAATTAGTCAAGTTCAAGCTCGAGCCGAGTTCAAGTTGAGCTTAAATAATCAAGCTTGAGCTCGGCTTGCCAAATATTTGAGAAATTCGAGCTCAGCTTGAGCCAACTAGATTACATAAACGACCCTAACTCGAGCTCGAAAAAAAAAAAAATTAAATTAATTTACTTATTAAGATAAAAAATAAAAAATTATGAGCAAAATATACAAGCATGCTTATGTTAATAATAAATTTTATCAATCAAATATGTAAATTTACACAAATAGAAATAAAATAAATTAATAAAAATTTATTTGATATATTATTAAAAATAAATATTAATTTATTTTGTTTATGTTCACGAGCCTTACTGAGCCTAGCTTGGGGCTACTCGAGCTCGGCTCAATTAATACATGAGCCTAAAAATCAAACTCGAGCTCATTCATTTAGCAAACAAACTAAGCTTTAAATGAGCCGATCTCATGAACAACTTGATTTTTTGGTAGCCCTACGCAAAAGGTTAAAGAAGAATAAAAAAAAATTAATCTGCTAACCAACACCAATTTATCATGCTGATAGTGAGTGGCATGTGCATACTTATTTTCTTGGTTCTCATTTATGTATTTGTGTTCTTTTACTTTTCTGATAAACAAAAAGGAGCAGTAGTGAATTAGTGTTAGTTCTTATATAAGATTTTGTATATATAATGCCTTGTAGTGCCATTGTTTTTGCTGAAACTGTTAGAGAATGCAAATTGCAGTTTTGGAGAGGAGAAGGGTTGGAGATGTAAAGAGAAAATTGCAGAATATGTTTGGGTTTTAGATCCAATAGATGGAACAAAAAGTTTTATAACTGGTATTTCGTCTTTGTATTTCTGAAGTTAAAGTCATTAAGTTTGAACTTCAAATATTTGCTGAACTGATTCTTTACTTGTATTGTATTCCAGGCAAACCCTTGTTTGGAACTCTTATTGCTCTGCTACACAGAGGTAAACTGGTATGAATCATGTGCCATCTGATTCTTTGCAGAAAACGGGGGGAATAAGCGCTTTATTAGTGCATAAGATGCAATTTATGCATTGAAATGGAAACAAACTAATCAATTGGGATGTTGAGGCCGACACTGTGTCCCTACTCCGCTGACTGCTGTTACAGAAAATATAGAGAGCAGCATATTTGTGTTTGCCTCATTTACCACTTAAAACATCTATTCGATATGGATGTGGTATAAATTCATACTATGCAACCTTGATATGAAAATGGAGAATATTGAAATAAAATATATGCCATATTTCTACGTTAAAATGGAAACAAAGTAATCAATAGGGATGTTTGGGCCAACACACTACGTGCCTACTCCACTGATTTCTGTTACAGAAATATAGAGAGCAGCATATGTATGTTTGCCTCATAGGGTGATTTCCGCCTAAACCTCTATTGGATGTGGATGTGGTATAAATTTATACTATGCATCCTTGATATGAAATAAGTAATATTGAAAGAAAATATATGCCATAACATGCTTACATCCTTGATATGAAATAAGTAATATTGAAAGAAAATATATGCCATAACATGCTTACATCCTAAACTCTAAATATTTATCATATTTCTTCCAAAAGCCTTTCTTTTACTTCTTCATCCCACATGGTCTGAGCCTTCCAACTCTTTTTTTTTTTTGGCACATCGGAGGTGGGTGAGGGAAAGTCTTGCGCGTGAGTGACAAGACTTGAATCCTTGACCTCCTAATGAGGTGCAACCATCCAGGGGCTCTAGCCAACCCTTCCAGTTGGTATTGGGGCTTCAAGGATGGCTGGTTCCAATATTACCATTATTGTGATTATATAACCTTCCCCTTTTCGTCATCTATTACCGTTCTCTATACGAGGCATCTAAAAGTTTGAATTAATTTCATGGTGTCCAATTATATTTGAACTCTTGCATTGTTATCCGTCTTTAATCCAACAAAAGAGCAACCAACCAGGAAAACTTGGGCTGTGTTTGGTTGTGATTTCAAATCACAATTCCACACCTTAATTCAAGCATGGTGTTTGGTTGTGATTCTCAAATGATGTTTTGAAAACTCTGCACAGAACACCTGCGTTGTTCTGTATTTGACAGACGCGTTTTTCCTTTTGTTGGGGGAAATCTTGCTTGGCGGGACGTCTGACCGGTTAACCGGCCGGCTGTTCGGAACAGTAATTTTTTTTTTTTTTATTTATATAATCGAAAAAAATATTTTTTGAAATTTTTAAAATTTTTTATGTGCTTTAAAATAATTTTGAGTTGTATGTTTAGTTATGAGTTGTAAATTTCTGTATCACATATCAAATGTCACATCAACAATTCCCCACTCAAATCAAAACTCTTTTCAAAACTATTTTCAAAACTCTTTACCAAACAAATTTTTTACACTCAAATCATAATTCCACAACACACAAACTCAAAATACAACTCATACTCTCAAATCACATTTACAAAACACAACCAAATGCAAGCTTGGTGTTTCCAAAGGTGCGGTTCAACGAGAACTTGAATCCTATGGTGTTAGAGACTGATCCTGGTTGTTGTAATTTGGAAAGTGCTCTCTGGTAAAATCCTTGCTTTTCTATTGTAGTATTGTGTAGATTTGACTGTTTAAAATGTATTCAAAATAGTTGAATATTTTTCTGCATTTGTCTATTTTCTTGTCATGGTATTTCTGCAGTGATGTCATCATCATTTTAGTACAAATTGTAGTTCGTTATGTTTCTCTTGTCATCCATGTTCAATTTTCAGAGGTATGGATGGACTACCTATATGAAAATCTCCATCCTTATATTGTGACCTGTAACTATGCTAAATGAACAAATTGCTGATTGATTCTAGTTCATCAGTTATTTAGTTTCTGCATGCAAATTTTATTAATTTTTGTTCTGGTGGTTTTTCTTTTTTTTTTATCTAGATTTTTGGTATAATTGATCAACCTGTTTTAAGAGAAAGATGGATTGGGATAAATGGAAGAAAAACTATGCTGAATGGGCAAGAAATCTCCACGCGCAGTTGTGCAAAGCTTTCACAAGCCTATCTGTATGTTCTTCCTTTCTAAAATGATTCTTCTTCTGAATAAATAAATAGATAAACCTATAAGAAAGGTTGTGGTGCAATAAGAAAAATCTTTTTATCTATGTTTCAACCATTTGGACTTTCTATGTTTAGTCTTTCAACTATTGTAGTTTTTACAAGCTCAAAGAGTGGTAAATTTATGGTTTGTCCCCTTTTTCTTACTTTTTCTCTTTTCTAATTTAGGTACACAACTAGCCCACATCTTTTCAATGGAGATGCTGAAGTGGCATTTGCTCGAGTTAGGGATAAGGTCTGTCCAAATCGATGTTGCATTTTGGGAAAGAAAAAGTAAGAATGATTTGAAATATGAGAAATATGTCTCATGCTGGTGAATGGTGATCTGGACAATGATGTCCCTAAAACACCTAAAACCATTACAACTTAGATCTCATTTTTATGACCATATATTGGCAATAATATTTGTTTCCATTTGTCATCATAACATTTGTTTAATCTTTTGAGATCAATAGAGGTCTGAGGATCTTTGGATGGAATACTTCATTTTTGTCATTGGCATTATTTTGGGAAGTGCATATCTTTCAATTTTTTTCTCCTTCCTTTTGTTGATTTTATATTTATGTCCTTTGATCTTCTTGTGAAATGTGGAAACCAACCACTTTGGTCCATTTGATACACTTTTTTTCCCTTCTTTTTTCATGCCTCCTTTTATGTTCACAGGTAAAAGTACCACTTTATGGCTGTGACTGTTATGCTTATGCTCTCCTCGCCTCGGGTTTTGTGGATCTTGTGATCGAGTCTGGTCTTAAGGTGAGCCATACTCTTTTTCATTTCTTAGCATATGCCATTCAGAGATCAAATTTACCCCGAGTCCCAATAAGTATGGAACTGGCTGTTCCATATGGAAGACTAGGGACTTCTTTTATGATCTTGCTGGTTAAAAAACTATAGTAAATGTAAATGAACTAGAGTTAATTTCTCAAAATATGGCTTTAGTAAGAACTTAGGTGTTGGCAATTTCTTTGTGCCTGCATGTGAAACCTTTGATTTTTTGTCTTCTCATTAATGAGATTGCACCTTTTTTTTTTAGCCATACGATTTCCTCTCACTAATACCCGTGATAGAAGGCGCTGGAGGAGTTATAACTGATTGGAAAGGGCATCAACTTCACTGGGAAGCTTCTTCAGATTCACTTCCAACAAGTATGATTTTATTTGGCTGGCTTAATCTTATTTCAGATTTGAGTCTGGTAACTCATCTGATCCACATAAATTGACGATTCAAGTTGATAAAATATTATAGATGCGAGTCATTTAGTGTGCCTGTGCAAATGTTTCTTTGTTTTGTGCAAATGTTTCTTTGTTTTAGTTCACTTGCATACAGTTCATATTTTGGTTGTTTTTTATTTTCCAGGTTTTAATGTATTGGCAGCTGGAGATAAACAGCTTCACCAACAAGCTCTTGATTCATTACAATGGCAATAAATGTTGCCATTTGATGGTGTGTACCATTTTGCAGCTCCTATTTAGGGGTTTTTTTTTTTTGGCTACCAAGGAATCTCCCCGAGACAGGCACTTCGGACCATCCTGGAGTAAAACATGCATTTAAGCTTGAACAATCAATTTTTTTAATCTTCAAATATCAATTGGTCAAATGTGAAACTTTTATTAGCAAGTCTATGCCCTTACTTTTTAATATAACTTGATATTAATATGGTGGCCGTACCCTTCTTGACAAAGGTACGTCATCTGTACTCATTTCCATATTTTTTTTGGTCAAAGATTGTATCTTTTTCTGCAGTGATGTCAAATATCACAAGAGAGTTGAATCCAAATTGTAACCCAAAAAATGATCCACAGATTATTAATTCATACAGATTTTGAATTTCCAGTCATCGGTCAACATCGTATTGGGCCTAAATTCTTGACAAAGGTACGTCATCTATACTCATTTCCATATTTTTTTTTGTCAAAGATTGTGTCTTTTTCTGCAGTGATGTCAAATATCACAAGAGAGTTGAATCCAAATTGTAACCCAAAAAATGATCCACAGATTATTAATTCATACAGATTTTGAATTTCCAGTCATCGGTCAACATCGTATTGGGCCTAAATTTTTTCAAAGCCCATGAGTAGGGCTAAGCCCACAAGCTCATATTTTTTAAAATTTATGTTTGTTCGGATAATAATAGTTTAATAAAATTATTGATCTGATTTTTAATTAAACAATTGAAGGTTAAAAGTATAAATTAACAATAGATATGATATTACACCTATCCAATCTCACAAAGAGGGATGGAATATAAATTGAAAGATTAAACTAAAATCTAAGACTATTAGTTCTCTTTATAATCCTCAATTCAAACATAAGATAACATCTACAATCCAAACATAAGATAAGATGTACAATTCAAAAGATTTATAATCCTAAAATTATTAATCATGAGAATACTAATCTAACTTAATTCAATCCATTAAAACAAATATAGCCCAAGTCCATTAGGTTTTAAAAATATGGACTTGAATCAGACTTGGCCCCTTTAAACCTAATATGGGCTTTTTTTATTAAATTAAAATTATTGAATTTTTTTAATATACTATTTTTTGAAACACCCTAACAATTATATATGCATACTTAATATTAATAAAAATTATTTTTTTAATTGAAGTACAAAATTAAAAGGCCAGAGGAATTGCATCATTCCAAGATAATACAAACCCCATCAATCATTTGCACTTTTTATCCAAATAAACTAGGTATACATCGAGAAATTAATAAATAAAATAATAATATCCCAAAAGGTAACAAAGCCCATAAGCCGGGCCTCAAAAAGTCCATCAGGCCAGGCCATGGGCCTTACCTCTCAGCCAAAGCCTAGCCCATATTTTTTAGGGCTGGGTCAAGCCATGAGCCAGTCCAGGCTCAGGCCAGCCCATGGGCCATGTGTTTTTCATGAGACTTCGGTAAAACACTTCAGCAAAATAAGGTAAACTATAGAAACGGGAGAAAAGTAGAGACGCATAATACGAGTAACAAGCATATTAAGTTTTTCATATTGGGAGAAAAAAATAATAAAAACGAAAATAAATAAATAAAAAAGACGAGGATATTAAGTCCAACAGGCACTGGTTATTCAGTAAGAACAAATACGGGTATTGAACAGAAACTCAAGCACAAAAGTAATCTGATTTTCCTCTGAGACTCTTCAACCTCCCTATCTCGGAGGGGCTCATTTCCTGATTGAGAGTATATATTGCATGGCTCATTTCCTGATTGAGAGTATATATTGCATTGCAAGCCCCACACAATTTAATAGTTTAAACCAATCAGGTTTTAATCCTTGCCAAAATCAGTATTGTAATGAGCACTTGATTCGAGTTTCTTTGCTTCATTCAGTTTTCGGACCGCCTGAAATATAAACAAAAAAAAAAAACAAGAAAAGAAAAGAAACACTGAATTGAACAGATGAAGCAATGCATTAACAATCAAGATGAACATGCGCACAGAATTTTCAAGTCTGAAAATTTCCATGCTATGCTATGTATGAAGCATTTAGACAGCAAGCCTCAACGATTAAGATAAACGCGCACACAGGATTTTCAAGTTCAAAACTTTCATGCAATGTTCTGTGCCTTATATGAAGCATTTAGAGATTCTGATTTAGTCTCTATATATAGTGTTGGGCTTGTGATAAAGAACACGCATCTTTATAGAACATATTTATCAAATAGCTAAACCCTTTTGTCCCGCATATGCAGAATTATTTTGTCCCAGGGGGAAGGGGTGGTGGGACAACTTATCCCAAACTAAATTTTGTCCCAAAATTCCAAAATGCCCTCTTTAGGATAAGTTATCCTGAGATTGTATCCCAAGATAACTTATCCAGCCTAATTCTGTCCATGAACCAAACATAGCACCCCATGGTATTAATAATCCTTACCATGGGATAAGATCCCATTCTCCGTCCAACGGCCAAAAATAATCCACCCCTCTTATATCATGCTTCATCTTTACCATAATCAAATATAGGATGTCCAATATCCTACATTTTTAGCTCCCCCCCCCCCCCCCCCCCCAAAAATAATCCCTAGGTATTACTTATCCCCTAACAAAAATCATATATGATAATTAAAATGGCCTAAAAATATAAATTCAAGTCATTAGCTATGAAAAACAGCACTTTTTTCTTGACAGCTTTGAATAATATTGTCACTACTTTGTTTCCTTCCAAATCCAATAGGTTAAGGCCTTGTATCAACCATATAGGGTAAATATATATATATATATATATTTTGGTTAAACCATATAGGATAATTATTCAGTAGTCCCACAGCACCAACCAACACGCTACATGGCATAGTGCATAGTGCATTTTATGAAGTGTAGAAAACTTTACCTTCATGAAATCTTCATGAATGACATAATCACGCTCTGCACGGATTGCAGACATACCAGCCTCAGTGCACACATTACGAAGATCAGCCCCATTAAATCCCTGAAGAAAATTGCAACTGATTAAAACTTTTGCCAGACCCAACACGCTACATGGCATAGTGCATAGTGCATTTTATGAAATGTAGAAAACTTTACCTTCATGAAATCTTCATGAATGACATAATCACGCTCTGGTAGAAAACTTTACCTTCATGAAATCTTCATGAATGACATAATCACGCTCTGCACGGATTGCAGACATACCAGCCTCAGTGCACACATTACGAAGATCAGCCCCATTAAATCCCTGAAGAAAATTGCAACTGATTAAAACTTTTGCCAGAGTATGTGATAATAAACGAGAAGGTATCAATTAGCATAGCCAGCCTTACCTCGGCAAGCTTCACAACTGCCTCATAATCAATTTCACCGTGCTTGGCAATTCCAGCAGCATGGATTTTGAGGATTTCCATTCTTGACTGTTCATTAGGCAATGGAATCTCAATTTTCCTATCAAGCCGCCCCGGGCGAAGAAGTGCAGGGTCCAGAACATCAGGCCTGTTTGTTGCCATTATCATTTTCACCTGGGACATGCAGTTCATACTAAATTATTGTATATAATCAACTGAATTATTATCCTATGCAAAAATATGCACACAGCCGGTAGGTGATCTTGCATATGGATATGAAATTAAAAATGCTGCAATCTAAATATAGGCACTACATATGATACCAACATAATGGATTTGGTACACAAAAAACAATATAACACCTTTCCAAGCTGGTCAAATCCATCCAGCTGGTTAAGCAACTCCATGAGTGTTCTTTGAATTTCTCGATCAGCACTTGTTCCCTCACTGAAGCGGCGTCCACCAATGGCATCAATTTCATCCATAAAAATGATGCAGGGCTAAACAAGAAGAAAACAAATATAAGAACTTTTTGTTTTTTTTTTGGATCATGATGATGATGCAGAGACTTTGATGAGTGGAGTATGTCACAAATTGAAAATATTTTTTGTGTTTGCTCTCACCTGGTGATCACGAGCATAACCAAACATTTCCCTGATCAATCTTGCACTCTCTCCTATGTACTTATCGATTATGGCACTTGATACAACCTGCATGTTTTACCAATTTAGAAAGTATCCTATCATTCCGAAGTGTAGTGTAAAGAGTAAATTAAAAAGGAATGGCATGTTAACAGCCTACAACAGAAGTCACAAACAACAGTGTCTTTTACCTTTAGGAAGTTGGCATCTATGTTGCTGGCAATTGCTCTAGCTAATAACGTCTTGCCAGTTCCAGGAGGTCCATAGAGAAGAACACCCTGATCAAGTAGAATTTGGCTTCTATATAAAATTACTACAGATATAAATTATAATAACTGAAGCACTTATCCTTGTTAACAATGCACAACATATATAAGTGACCAAAAATTCTATCAAAATTACCTTGGGAGGTTTGATGCCAACTCTTATGAAGAGCTCAGGATTCATTAGAGGCAATTCTATAGATTCCCTTAGTTCTCGGATCTGATCAGACAGCCCACCAACTGCAGAGTAGCTAACATTTCCAGGATCTTCATGAAGCATATTGTATACAACTGGATCAACCTGCAAACAAAGTTAATCACAATATACATCATATCAACGCATGGTATGAAAATGTTGGACGACAATATCATCAATGAAATGATAGTCAATCATTACAGGGCATCAGAGAAGATACTAACTTCACGGGGAAGAGCTCGCATAATTGTAAGAGTAGTCATATCAAGAACCACTCTAGTGCCTGAAGTTAATTTTTCCTTGTCCACTTTACTGCGGCAGCCAACCACATATCTTGGTCCACTACTTGCTTTAACTATCACTGAAACAGTACAGATGATATAAAATTAGTTCACCAACAAAACATCACTATGTGGTGAAGAAAAAAAAAATTATGATTCCAAGTAGCAAATAGAAATTTCAAATATAAACAATGAAATGTGTTGAAAATAACTAAAGCAACAGGCTTCCATTACACGCATTGCATCAACGCCCAACTAGAATACTTAACTACAACACCTACTGAATAATTTACCCCTCGACATTGAGGGATTGTTCAGGTTTTCTTTACAAGGAAGAGGAAAATAAGCAGAAATTGGAATAAAGCATATAGAATTCATGGGTAAACTTAGGTTCCACACCCACAATATTCATGTTTGAAATATACTAGAAAGAGAGTATCGAGAAAGAATAATTACGCCGTTCATTGTCAAGAGGCCTAAGAACTTCGCCAATGATCTGTCCAACACTCTGAAGGGACTTCAAGTCATCTTCGGTTTTAGCATACTCCTTTTTCGTAGCCCGCAAGTTTTCTCTTACTGTGTACATTCAACACAAGTCAGTGACAGCCATGCATATACAGTAAAACTAGATTGGTTGATACTAAAATGCTCCTTAGGACAGGAAAAAGAAACTAGAATGTTTGTCCAGAAAGAAAATCACAACAATAAACATGACAAAGCAAGTCAGCACAACCAAAGACATGAGTTGCAATTAAAAATCTCAACTAGATACATGCACCAAAAGAACCAGAAAAAGACCTGAAGTAAAGCAACCATGATAGTTGCAATTTTTAAAATGTGATTGATGACCTCAAAACTGATGACTTTCAGTGGGGTGTCTTGTGTTGGTGATTACAAAAATTCCAGATAACAGAGCCCTTCACAAAGACGCAAAATCCAGCACCACTCACCATGTTCCTAGTCAGTGACTGAACATCACGTATTCAAAGGCAAACAAGTATGACATGCCAAATGCATAGAAATTCCTCTATTAGATCATTAGATTAAAGAAATTAAAGCATCAACCCAAAAGTTGCTTATAGTTTCAAGCTTCTAAGCAAACAAAGGAAAAGATATGCAGAATAAAGCTTGACTTCTTGTCTAGCAGCAGAAAAACAACACATGAAGAAGTTCCAGCAAAGAAGCTAGGTAATATCATAAGCTAACACAATCCATAAATTTGAAAATGAACCCTTTGAAATGATAATCTTCACATCAAATTAGAATAGTTGTTTGTTACAGAAGATAATAAATGGGAATCAGGGAATGAAACTATTTAATACCAATAAGATTGCATGGCTGTATTCTTTCAAATCACACGAGCTTTTGTTTTTTAAAGTTCAAAAATGTTCTACCTGCCAGCCAACCTGAATAACATAATATAACTTGCCATCAGCAGTATGATGACAACACCATCGACCAAATTTGTGGATACCTCAATAGTTCAGATAATATCCATGCAACAAAAAATTCCTGAAACCAGTCACAAAATAGCTTGCCAAGGACTTAAATTATTTCCACATGTAACAAATCCTGGTCCCACTAAAAAAAATTACTACACACATATATATTGTTGTGCATAACCAAACAGGATGTCTTCTTCAATAGTACATTCCATTTATCACTTTTCTCACAAATTTTATCTTGCTCCTCTGAGGCATCTACATAGAAGCAAGCTTATGCTCAAAAGATTTTGGCCAACTATTTCCCCAATGTCCAACTACTCCAAATTGCATTACATATTTAAAATTCAGACTAAGGTTTGATTCCCCCAATGTCACCAACTATCCACTTGCAAATATCTTTCAATCCTCTTCTGGTTTGAAAACCGGTGGTTTAATCAGTTAATTATTTCCTGGTAAAGGGATGGATTTCCAAGCAACCACGTTAAATTCCTGTTTGGTTCCTGAATTTTTAGTAGGTTTGGAGCTATCAATTTTTTCCTGAACCAAAACAGCATTACATCTTTTCCTAATTATCTCATTGACAAACTTTTGAGCATGAAATATTTGATATTTCTCACCCCAAGAAACTAGATCCTCTGCTCAAATTCTAGTTTACCATTCCATACTATTCTTAAATTCTAGCTTCTGATTTCCTTCTTCTTTCTCCCCAATTTTCACCACAATTAAATGAAGCAACTAACAGCAAATACTAAAACAGTTCAATTCCACAATACATACGTGTGTGCATATATGTATCAATGAAATTTTGAAAAATTGCTAGAAAGTCGAATCAGGTCAATAACAAGAATTCACGAATTAGATTCTGATTTCTCTCTTCTTTCTCCCCGATTTTCACTGCAATTAAACAAAGGAACCAATAGCAAATACTAAAAAAGTTCAAAATCCACAATGTATACGTGTGTGCATATATGTATCAGTGAAAAGTTTAAAATGCCCTAGAAATTCGAATCAGATCAATAACGAGAATTCAGGAACTCGGCCTTTCATTTCTTTCTTCTTTCTCCCGATTTTCACCGCAATTAAACAAAGGAACCAACAGCAAATACTAAAACAGTTCAAATCCACAAATGTATCAGTGAAAGTTCAAAAAGCCTTAGAAAGTCGAATCAGATCAATAACGAGAATTCACGAACTAGATTCTGATTTCTCTCTTCATTCTCCCCGATTTTCACAAATACTAGAAGAGTTCAAATCCACAATGCATACATGTGTGTATATATAATAAGTGACTAGTTCAAAATCCCTAGAAAGTCGAATCAGATCGAAAACCAGAATTCAGAAGCTAGAATCTAGGGTTTATACGGAAGGAAAAATCTGACCTCCACGGACTCTGGATTCGAGCTCCTTGTGCTGGAGAAGCTTTTTCCGGTACTCAGTCACTGCGGTGCGGCGGCGGAGGACGGCGTCTTCGGCCTCGCTCGACATCGGTATCTCAGTCGCCAACACAACGAGTTACTGATTTCGATGGAAAGGAAAGGAATGATCTCTCGACTTGCCGATCAAGCAAGTCACAATGATTTATATAGGGATGAAAATTAGGGCCGAGTAACGAATCCTGAAATTCGTAATCCCGTCCAGTCAGTCCAATTTAGTAAAGAATAATGTTTGGGACCCTTTTGGGTCACCCCTCACCTCCTTTGTCACGTGACGGGTGGTGATTGAAGGAGGAGAAAAAAAAAAAAAAAAAAGTAACCAATGAGAGAGAGAGGGGGTCAAAGGGGGTGAGGGAAAAAGGGGGATGAATCATTGTTGTTTAGTAAATTTGGATTGATTTTTTAAATTCGTAGTTCGATTTTAGATTGAAAAATTAAAAATATGTACTTCACGAATTGGTTTTAAATTGAACTCCACTGTTTTGGATTGGAATCGATCCGGATCGTATACAAATAATTTATGTTTTTATTATACACGCTCTTGCATAGTATATTGTCTTATTTCATATAAAATTTAAATCTAACCCTAAACTTGTGTAGTATCTTCTTTTATTACTTTTGTTTCCTAGTTTTTAGTGTTAATTTATAATGGTCTAAATACTTATGGTGGAACTAATTTTCTTATAGTTGTTTAAATTCTAAAATAATTTATCGCTATTACGAAAAGATATGTTGCTATTGTGAAACTAATATGGTACTATATTTATATTTTTATGAAATTAAAGTGTTGTATATATATTTTTTGTTATTTAATTATGTAAATCCGTGGTCTTAAACCGATCTAATCCGTGTTTAAATGGATTGGTTCGGATTAGTTCCATGATTTAAACGGATTGAATTGGTTCTAATTTTTCAGGATCCATAGATAACGGATTGGTCCTGATTTTACTCCAATCCGGTCTAATCCGGACCATACTCACCCCTAATGAAAATTACTCTCACATCCCTACACTTTTCAAAATTACACTACTGTCCTTATTTTTTTAAGATTTTCAACTAAAATAAATAGTATATATTTGGATTTTTTTTTATTTTTTTGACTTTTTGCAATAAAAAAAAAGTGCAAAAAAAAGTAATGTGAATGAAAAGAAATATTTAATTTTTTTTTGTATCAATTGAAAAAAAATTAGAGATTTTTTATTGTTTTTTAACTTTTTGACGAGTCAAATGAGACTAATTTGAACAACTACTTCACTAAATTATTGATATTAGTTTATTTTATCTCAAACTGTTACTGGAGTTAATATTTTTGACGAAGTATTGCACTTGCTGACACGTGAAATTCTTGCAACATGATTTGTTTAATTTGATTGTATTAATAAATAGTGATTTGATACATTACTATTATATTTTGTATTTTATTAAATGTTTTTAAATTAATAGTTTGATATCTCGACATTTGTCTTGTTATCTACCTTTTATTATGGGATAAAGTGAACCTATACCTTCAATTAATTATGTGTGTGCCATAAGATATAAAGTAAATTAATATTATGTGTTTAATAAAGTAATTGTTTAAATTGATAGTTGATACACGTGTAATAATTTGACCAACAAAATATAATATGTAAACTAGAGTTGCAAACTAGCCAAACTCAGACTCATTTGTTTATTAAATTCTAAAATCAAATTTGATCTTAGCTCGTTTATTAATTAAGTCTAGAAGTTTAGCTACAACTCATTTAGATACATAAAGAAATTCAATTCATTTGCAACCTAGTGTAGACTAGGTAATTATTGATATTTTATAATATTATGATTGGTGGAACAGGTAGATATGTGGAGTATTATGTTAGGTGATTAAAAAACATGAGAGAACATATTGAATAATGATTGATTAAGAAGTACAAACACGTGATACTTTGAAAATATTGAATAATTTTTCATGTAGACCAAATTTATTTTGAATATGACTGGTATTCACACTAAAAAGGCAATTTCAACTACTTGCTCGAACTCGGGAACATATCAAAAGCTAAATCTCAAAAATATTTTGAGTAATGCTAAATAAACAAAATTTTGTATATTAAAAATTTCAAGTAATTATTAGGCAACTCAGAATAGTCAATTAGCATTGTCTACATGCTACTTCTAACTAATGCGTAGCGAAAAGTTTTATAAGTAGAGCAATATTGATTGATCTTGTTAAGAGATTACTTAATGTGTATTGTGATTTTTTACTTGTCATGAACAGGTAAACAATATCATGTAGTATATTCAAAAATTTCATATTGATGATGTGTCTTATTTATAAGTTTCCACCATTTTTATTCTGAAAATAAAATGTCTGCTATAAATGTATTTTGGTTGTGATCCAATAAGGTTTTTCCGCAGCAAAGAATCTCTCAATGTAACTCAAATCTAGAGAGAAATGATGTAAGACCAATTCAAAACTCTCCAACAGCAACCATTGGTATATGTTCTTTCTGTTGGCAAATACTAAGAATAGAGCACCAACACAAATTCAACCTCTGAAACAAAATCTTGTATCCCACAAAAATGGGGACAATATTGGCAAAAACCCAAAGTGTATTCTTTGCTGTCACATTCTTCCTCCTTCACTATTAACCCTAGAAAAAAAAACCAAAAAATCAACAAACCACAAATAGTCAATAACCAAGACCCCATTTTTCTTTCACAACCATTGCTTAAGTCTTTTTTTCTCTTTCCAATTCTATCTCCCTCACCCCCCTTGGAGGGCTGGAGATGGAAAAGAAACCTAGAGGACCCCCAACCAACTTATCATTGTCCTCGTCATCGTCACTGCTTTCGTTTTCATTGTCATCCTCACCCCTCTCATCGCCGCCTATGGCGATCCTCCTGGTTCTTTTCTTCTTCGTGGCCGCCATCCCCAGTGTCCCACCAGTCCTGGCTGCCCCCGCCTCCTCCACCGCGGTTTCTTTTACACCGCAAGACAATTTTCTCATTGACTCTGGCTCTGTCGCCAACACAACTCACTCCGATGGACGAGTCTTCATCTCTGACCAAACCTTTGGCAAGTACTACTCTTCGCAAGGCCGCGACGTGCTCATCACTGTTCCCTCTGCTGACGTGCCTTCTCGGATTTATCTCTCTGCTAGAGTCTTCATCCAGGAAGCTGTGTACACCTTTCACATGGCTCGGCCAGGATGGCATTGGATTCGGCTTCATTTCTTTGCTTTTAACAACACAGAGTTTATCCTCGAAAATGCCAAGTTTTCGGTGATGACAGACAGTTTAGTTCTCCTCCACGAGTTCACCATCGACGCCAGCGCAACAAACACGACGAAGTGGTTCTTCAAAGAGTACCTTGTTAATGTGACGGCCGAGCGGTTGTCATTGAAGTTTGTTCCGGTGAAGGGAGCTCCAGCGTTTGTCAACGCCATCGAGGTGGTCTCAGCCCCGGACATCCTCGTCACCGACATAGGTTCGACCCTTTTCCCCGTTGCGCAGTACAACGGTTTGGTAACTCAGTCTTATCAAACCGTGTACAGGCTCAACGTGGGAGGCCCACAGTTGACCTCCCGAAACGACACGCTTGGGAGGACCTGGACCTCCGATGGACAATACTTACAACCTAAAGTGTCAGGGAACAACGTGTCTGTTGCTCCCAGTGTCATCAAGTACCCAGAAGGCGGGTCCCCTCTGATCGCGCCACAATCGGTGTACGCGTCAGCGGTGGAGATGGCGACTGCAAATGTCGCGGACCCAAATTTCAACGTGACATGGAATTTGGAGATAGATTTGTCGTACCAGTACTTGATTCGCCTTCATTTCTGCGATATAATTAGCAAGACTCTTGATGATCTCTATTTCAATGTGTATATCAATGGGAAAATGGCCATTTCTGGGTTGGATTTATCGACCTTGACAGGTGGTTTAGCGACAGCTTACTACAAAGATTTCGTTGTAAACTCAACCATGATTTCTACTCCACTTAGCATACAAATTGGACCTATGAACCAAGGAACCGGGGCAAAAAACGCCATTATCAATGGCCTCGAGGTCTTAAAAATGAACAATTCGGTTGGTAGTTTGGACGGTGAGTATGGTGTCGATGGGAGGTCGCTTGGCGGTGTTAACAAGGGAACGGTGGCAGCGGTTGGGTTTGCGATGATGTTCGGGGCTTTTGTGGGTTTGGGTGCAATGGCTTTTAAATGGCAAAAGCGGCCGCAGGATTGGCAAAAGAGGAATAGCTTCTCTTCATGGTTGCTTCCACTTCATGCCGGTGACACGAGCTTTATGTCGAGCAAGAACTCATTAGGTTCTCGCAAAAGCCAATTTTTCTCATCGACAACAGGACTAGGCAGGTATTTTTCTTTCGCGGAGCTGAGCGAGGCCACGAAGAATTGGGATGCGAATGCGGTGATTGGTGTAGGTGGGTTTGGCAATGTATATATTGGAGAGATTGATGATGGCGCTACTAAAGTGGCAGTCAAACGAGGCAACCCACAATCCGAGCAAGGTATCAATGAGTTTCAGACAGAGATTCAAATACTATCAAAGCTCAGGCATCGACATTTGGTGTCATTAATTGGGTATTGTGATGAAAACACCGAAATGATATTGGTTTACGAGTTCATGTCGAATGGACCGCTTAGAGACCATTTGTATGGCAAGGACTTGCCTTCCTTGACATGGAAGCAAAGGTTGGAAATTTGCATTGGGGCGGCACGAGGGCTTCATTATCTCCACACAGGCGCGGCACAAGGCATTATCCACCGCGATGTTAAGACTACCAATATCTTGCTCGACGACAACTTCATTGCCAAGATGGCTGACTTTGGTCTGTCAAAAGACGCACCTACTGGCTCAGAACAACACGTGAGTACCGCGGTGAAGGGAAGTTTCGGGTATCTTGACCCTGAATACTTCAGAAAGCAACAGTTGACAGACAAGTCAGATGTGTACTCATTTGGTGTCGTATTGTTTGAAGTGTTGTGTGCACGACCCGCCCTCAACCCGGCATTGCCAAGAGAACAAGTGAACTTGGCAGAATGGGGGATGCAATGGAAACGGAAAGGCTTGCTTGAAAAAATCATCGATCCCCACCTTATCGGAAACATTAACCTTGAATCGATGAAGAAGTTTGCTGAGGCTGCAGAGAAGTGTTTGGCTGATTATGGGGTCGATAGGCCTACGATGGGTGACGTGCTGTGGAACTTAGAGTATGCTTTGCAGCTACAAGAGGCTTCATCTCAAGGCAAGGCCGAGGACGAGAACAAAGCATTGGCTGCCACAGCTGCCCCTGCCCCTGCCCCTATTTCTACCCCCGATAACCATCCCAATGCTTTGCCTGAACAAAGTAGAACCCCGAAAGAAGTCCAAGCCGTCGACGAGCACTCAGGAACCGCCATGTTTGCCCAATTTGCAGCCCTCAATGGTAGATAAAATTACTTAAATTTTCTTAATTTGGTTCGGGGAGGGGGTCAAATATTGCGTGTAGCCATGGTGGCTTCGCTGTTTCTTCTTCTTGAATGAATGAGATGTAGATATGTATTTGAAAGCCTCACAAATTAATGATGTATTGTGTTTGATGTAGTACAACGGTTTGGTAACTCAGGCTTATCAAACCGTGTACAGGCTCAACGTGGGAGGCCCGCAGTTGACCTCCCGAAACGACACGCTTGGGAGGACCTGGACCTCCGATGGACAATACTTACAACCTAAAGTGTCAGGGAACAACGTGTCTGTTGCTCCCAGTGTCATCAAGTACCCAGAAGGCGGGTCCCCTCTGATCGCACCACAATCGGTGTACGCGTCAGCGGTGGAGATGGCGACTGCAAATGTCGCGGACCCAAATTTCAACGTGACATGGAATTTGGAGATAGATTTGTCGTACCAGTACTTGATTCGCCTTCATTTCTGCGATATAATTAGCAAGACTCTTGATGATCTCTATTTCAATGTGTATATCAATGGGAAAATGGCCATTTCTGGGTTGGATTTATCGACCTTGACAGGCGGTCTAGCGACAGCTTATTACAAAGATTTCGTTGTAAACTCAACCATGATTTCTACTCCACTTAGCATACAAATTGGACCTATGAACCAAGGAACCGGGGCAAAAAACGCCATTATCAATGGCCTCGAGGTCTTAAAAATGAACAATTCGGTTGGTAGTTTGGACGGTGAGTATGGTGTCGATGGGAGGTCGCTTGGCGGTGTTAACAAGGGAACGGTGGCAGCGGTTGGGTTTGCGATGATGTTCGGGGCTTTTGTGGGTTTGGGTGCAATGGCTTTTAAATGGCAAAAGCGGCCGCAGGATTGGCAAAAGAGGAATAGCTTCTCTTCATGGTTGCTACGATTTAAGTTGGAATATACCAAAATTATCAGTTAAAGAGATTTATAAAACTACGTTTTTACAATCTGCTTTTAATGTTAATCTGCATGTTAAAATATTAGAATAAGTTTATGCTTTAGAAAAGCCTAGAGAAACCTGTCACTTATTTGATGCTAACACTATTAAACGTCATTTAAAAACTGGTCACAATTTTATTCATTTAGGATTAATTCAACTTGGAATCAAACCATTAACTTCACAAGGTAAAAATACTTATGTTTTATTATGTTTAAGAGATGCTCGTTTTCTTGATTATAATGATAGTTTAATGGGTATGGTGGAAACTGGTCTTCACAAAGGACCTATTCATTTTAATTGTTTTCCTGATTTCACACTCCGTCTTAAAGATCCACACATATTAGATGCATTAACTTTAAATATTCAATTAAATGGTTCATTTACTAATATGAAAGAAAAAACCCATAATATTGCTTTAATTTACCGTGTCCATTATAAATATATTAAAACCAATTTAAATGTTCAAGCTTTACATAAAAGTCCTAAGGACAAAACATTACTGATTCAAACTAGTAACAATGATACTAATATAAATATCCCTCAAATGATAGAATGGAAAGATATTACTCTCCCTGATCAATGGATTACGGTCAATGAAAATTACAAACATAATCAACAACAATCCACTAGTCAAGATATCCAAGATATTCAACAATTTACTGACAGTTCAGTCCGTATTAAATTTAATCGTAGTCAATCTTCTAGACATAGTACTTCTAGTATACCTACTGATCTTGAAACTGAAGATGAAATATTTAATATTCCTTTATTCCGAAAAAATAGTCAAATTAATCTTGGTCAACCCTCCCATAGTAAATTAAAAGGCATTGATAACTCTACTACCTCTCAAATTAGTAAACCTGCTTGTTCTACTCATACACATTTCCGTGAAGAAGATACTGAATCAAATAATTCTCCTACTCAAATTGATTTCGAAGTAATACCTCCAATCAATTCTCAATTAATGACAATTAGTAAATCTTTTGCTCCTGATCTTGATAAATTACATGTCGAATTTAAATCTAAAGAAAATAGGACTAAAAGACATGTTTATCGTATTAAATATGATTCTACTCAACAATCTAAACTTACTAGAAAATGGTATGATTTTATGATTGAATATAGTATGAAAATTCCTTTCTTTGAATATTTAGACAACTATTACAAAAAGGTTAATACGATCATAAAACATAAATGGAAAACTTTTCCAAATACTTCTGTTAGCTCTAGTCATCCTCCTTTATCTAATATTATTATTGAACATCAAAGATCTGAAGTCCCAGCCTTTCCTTTTAAGTTGCCTGGCACTGACCCTGAAATTAAAAAAGTTATTGAACAAAATAATTATACTAATCAATGTTTAAAAAAAATTGGTAAACAATTAGATAAACTAGAAACTAATTTAGATGATTATTCTGCTAACACTACATCCACTAAACAATCTTTAGATCAACCTTTGATTAACTTACCCATTAATCATTCTAAAAGAAATAGTTTAGTCACTCAAGATACTTCTACTATTAAAGCTATAGAACAACTATTCACTAAATTAACTACTTCGGAACAAACTTCACCATCTAAGGAAAAATGTCATACTGTCCTAAACCAACCTTTAGACAAGACTTCTACTCAATCAAAAACTGATACAACTAATAATGAAATTGATCAATTAGCTCAACAATTTCAATCTTCTCATCTTAATAAACTCCACTATCCTAAACCTCAACCGACTACTCTTACTAAAAATTGGTATTCTCGACCTACTCAACCTAACCTCCAATATGAAGAAACTAATCTTTCTAATCAATTTTCTGTATCTGCTAAAAAATTATACGAATGGAATATTGATGGTCTTAGTGAAGATCAAATACTTCAAAAATTAAATCACTTATCTATGGTTGCAAATAGTTATCTTACTAACTATCCTGATTACTCTCAACTTGAAATTACTTCTTTAATTACCTCCGGTTTTACCGGTATGCTCAAATCTTGGTGGGAAAAATACTTTATTGAAGATCAAAGAGAATCAATCTTACATGCTAATCAAAAAGATGAAAATGATTTGCCAATCTTTGATGAAACTATTGGCTATTACAAATCTGATGGTGTTAACACATTAATATATATCATAGTTAGACATTTCATAGGTACTCCTACTAATATATATTCTCGCATACATGATCAACTTAGTAACCTTACTTGTCCAAAATTAAGTGATTTTAGATGGTATAAAGATGTATTTACCTCTAGAGTTATGTTAAGAGAAGATTGTACTAAATCTTTTTGGGAAAAAAAATTTATTAACGGATTACCTAGTTTGTTTGCTCACAAAATTACAGATGTTCTTAGTCAACCTACTGGTATCATTGAATATGACACTTTAACTTATGGTGATATCATTAACACTATTCAAAAAGAAGGATTAAAAATATGTATTGATCTTAAACTCAGTCACAAAGCTACTAAAGATAAACATAAGGCTAAATATGAATTAGGTAATTTTTGTAAACAATATGATTTACCTCCTGTTGCACCTTCCCGTAGGAAAACACATAAAAAACATAGTAAATTCCATTACAAATGTTCAAACAAGTATAAAAAGAATTATTCACCTTCTAAATCAAATGATAAATTCTATACTAAACCTAAAAAGAAATATTACAAGAAATCACATCCAAAAGCTAAATCTAACAAAGATATTACTTGTTACAACTGTGGTCAAAAAGGTCATTATTCTAATAAATGTAAAGAAAAACAAAAATTAAAAGATAAAGTTAATCAACTTCAAATTAATGATGAATCAAAAAACCAATTATTTGAAATCTTTCAATTAAATCAATCTGTTAGCAATTCCTCTCCTGATAATTCTAATACTTCATCTAATTACAATTCACCTAGTGAAGATTCTGATAATAATATAGAATTAGGATGTAATAATATTTATTGTAAACCTGTTAAACAAATTACTGTTCTTACTAAAAAAAATCAAGAAGAAACTGCTCTTATTGAATTAATTAGTAGACTTGAAGATTCTGAATTAAAAAAGAAATATACTGATAAATTAAAATCTTTGTTAATCAATACTAATCATAAACCTAAGTTTGATAAGCCTATTATTAGTCTATCTAAAACCTTAGAAAGATTTAAAAATAAACACAAAGAAGTTACCTTACAGGATTTACAACAAGAAATTAATCAGATTAAACAAACCATTAAAGACTTACAAAATAAAGATCAACATTTAGAAGATGAAATTATTACATTAAAATTTAATAAAAATTTAGATAATTTCAAAACCAATAATGTTTCTCCTAATGAATCTGAACATGAATCTGATGAACCTACTAACCCTGATAATCTTTTATTTGATAATCGTTCACATCAATCTCAATCTCATAATCATGAAGATAATAGATTAAATCTCCTTAATAAAATCCATATTCAAAAATGATATTCTAAAATTAAAATAGTTATTAGTAATTTTGAATTAGATGTTATCGCTTTAATTGATACTGGTGCCGATCTTAATTGTATTCAAGAATGATTACTCTCTACTAAATATTATGAAAAATGTCGTGAAAAATTAACTTCTGCTAAAGGTAGTAAAATGCATATTAAATATAAAATACCTAAAGTTCATATATGTCAAAATAATGTTTGCTTTAAAACTTCCTTTGTTTTGGTTAAAAATATGACTGATAAAGTTATCTTAGGAACACCATTTATATTTTTACTATACCCATTTACCACCTCTAGTGAAGGAATAACTACTCATGTTTTAGGGCAACCTGTTACTTTTAAATTCTTATCTCCTCCTGAAATATTAGAATTAAATCAATTAAAAGATTGTTCTATTTCTCAAACGATTAATCGATTAACTCGTCATTTAAGATATCTTAAAGAAGAAATTAATTACAAAAGAATTGATCAACAATTAACTATTCCAGTTATTATTTCTCAAATTAATAAATTTAAATTAAAATTAGAAACTACCGTTTGTTCTACTTTACCTACTGTATTTTGGCATAGGAAAAAACATGTAGTCACATTACCATATATTAAGAATTTTCATGAAAGTCAAATTCCTACTAAATCTAGACCTATTCAAATGAATCATGAATTACTTGAAATGTGTAAGAAAGAAATCAATAAACTATTAAAAAATCGAATAATTAGTCCAAGTAAATCACCTTGGTCATGTCCTGCTTTTTATGTAAATAAAAATGCTGAATTTGTGACACCCTAAATGTTTAATTAAATACTACATAAATATTTATAGTTATATATAATTATGGTTGTATGTGATAATAGACTATTAAATAAATGAATATATAAATTTAATTTGGCTTGGGTTATCAAATATAGGATTAATTAGGAATTATTATTATTAGGGACAAATTAACACATTATGGAATTATAATACTAGTTGGGTCAAACTATAGATAATAAATAATTAATTAATTTTATAATGATAAAATAAAAAATAATAATAATAAAATAAGATGTAATTTAATTTAAATTAGAAACATTGAAAAAGCTTAACATTAAAACAAATAAATAAATGAATAAAAAGAAAAGGGAAATGAGAATTGGTTAGCCCAGCAGCTTATGGATTTTGGCTCAAAAGAAAAAGGAAAAAGAGGAAAAAGGCCCAAGTCTAAATACTTATCTCTAACAGATTCAATCTTATCTAACAGATTCAATCTTATCTTACATCTGCAATTAAGAGCTCACCTTCTAGCCTCATTATAGCGTCCTGAGGAGGGGATACGTGGCACTCCATTGAAGCTCGACTCACAGTATAAATAGGAGCAAGGTGATGAACTAATGAAAAAACGTAAGAATAAAGAGTGGAAGCCGAGAGAGAGAGAGAGAGATACGTAAGTGAGAGTGAGGAGTTGATAGTAGGGAAGTTTTGGTAGTAAGTAAGGCTAAGGGTTATAATTAAGATGAGTTATATTATACCTTGCTTTACCATCATATGTTTTACGAATGTTTTGAGTTACCATAACTTGTTTTATACAAGTTATATTTATTAAGTTATATAAATAAAAGTTATATTTATAAATATTTCAGTTACGTGGGTTACTTCTAAACTCTATTTACTTAAAAAAGAAACACATGGATATGTTTGTTTAAATTTTAGTATATATTTGACTATAACCTTATAAATAATTATGTTATGTTTTGTAAGTATCACCACGAGAGTCCCACGCCTTGGGGGACTTAAATAACCACTGACCCCTGTTTGACCACTTTGTGGTCCTCTGTTTGTCATGAATCCATTGACCTCTGTTTTGACTGTCACTTCTGTGACCTCTATTCTGTTCTGTTTTATACCGTGGTTATGATTATTTATTTACATGATTTCTGTATTCTACCACTTTAAATAAATTGTCATTTTAAATTAAAATATGCAAATATTTTAACCTAACTAATTATCCATGGTTGTTTTGTATTTCCCTACTCTCTTGGTATAATATTTCTCACTCTGCTGTGTGCTTATAGATGTTACCCTTTCAGGTGACGAGATGTAAGGGAAATCCATAACCCTACAAAATGGAACCTGCACATGGACTGATGTTAAATCACTATTTTACCTTTCTCTTTTTTATATTTTTGCTCCCTTTTGTCTCTATTCGGGGCTGGTCACTGAATAAGAAAATAACGAAAGCCCTAGAAATGTATTTCTTTTTTTTAAATAGTAAAATGTAGTAAAATTTATGTTTAATTATTTTTATTTTTGCTTGCGCAACTTAATTTGCTTCGAATAAGAATAAGTTAGTAAGTCACGATTCCAACTCTATTGTGTAACACAACACTCCCTTTCACTAAGCGATAATATTAAAATAAAACCTAACTTAGTAAGTTGAAAATTGAAATCATGCATGCCACAAACCTCACGAATAAGTATCTTTTGTGTTATACCATCCAATGCCACCTTGGTAACATCTTGTTCTGCAGCTTTTCGTTGTGAAAATACATCATGAGATGTATATGATGCTACATCCACCTGGAGAGTGGACCTAAACCTTGGCTCATGTGGAACTCCTCCTTCATTAATTGTTTCATAAACTGGGAGTGGAATGGATGATTTTTGAGTGTACTCTTGCAAACGGTTCTTGTACATTGCGAGTTCCGGAGGATCTAGCAATATTAAGGAAAACATATTATCACAAAATGCACTTCAAGCTCCCAATGAATAGTTTGTTTTCAAGTATTGGCATCTGTAAACTAATTTCAAAAAGTGCATGATCAATAAATTAGAACCTTTCAAGTACAACGATGAACAACCATGTGGAAACTTTTTTGTCATTCACACAACAGCTCTAAGGTAGTCCAGCTATGTAACTTAGAACATTCAACACACGGTTCGGTTGGGTAAGTTTGGTTTACCCCTGAGCCGTCAACTGGCTGCCAACATTCGGATGGAGAAAATGTCAACCTGATTCGACACAAACCCCTTTTGAAACCGTCTGCTTATGCTATTCGGTTTCACAGTCGGTATATGTTCGAGTATCGGGTTGGACCTCAACTCAAATGCAACTGAGAATCTCATTAGATCTACCAATTTGGTAAACAAGAACGAAAAAAAAAAAATAAAAAATAGAAACAAATTTATCACTTTCCTTCAGCATAGATCCATTAATTTGGTAAACACAAATAAAAGAAAATCAAAAAATATGAAACAAAATCTCGTAATCTAATCTTACATTTAGTGTTTTCATTGGACTTCCTTAGAGCAGTGTGAGAGAGAGAGTGTGTGTGTGAGTTTTAGAGAGAGAGGGTTTTCGTTGGACTTCCTTAGAGCAGTGAGAGAGAGAGAGTACCTGTAGCACCAGTGTAAGAGAGAGAGAAAGCGAGTCAAAAATCTGAGGAAGTGGTGGGAGATTTGAAGTGGTGGGACGTAGTCGTATTTTGAGTGATGCCATTAATGAGATAGGCTAACATGCGCGTGGTGCGTAGAGCTCTGCTCGCGCTTGCTTCTTTTTTTTTAATCCTTCGGTTACAAAAAAGATAAAATGATTTTTTTAATCTAATAAAATATCACATTTAAGTAGTTGTTTGGGATAAACTAAATAAGTGTATTTTTTGACTTTTTATGAAATATGGGTTCAATATGGGTTAGGTTTGAAGTGATATATAAGATGATGTGACTTAAATAGGATAATGACTTTTCGACTTTTTTAGATTATGCCAAACCAAGCCTTAAATCATAATAATTTTATTTCTTTTATAAAAGTAAAAAAAATTAAAAAATTTATTCCAAATAAAAATTTTTAATACCAAATTAAAATAATCAAAAAGACAAAAAAACTAAGCCATATTCCAAGGGCCTGTTTGGTAATGTTTACGTTCTCAGTTTATATTTACAAAAAATTGATAAATTGGTTTTTGTTTATTTTTTTGTTTATATTTAGAAAAACATAAACTACAAACGCATTTGGTTTAGAAAAAATGTTTACAAAATTTTACAAATATAAAAAAGAGTGAGAAATGGCAAGTGGTGGCGGGTGCGCTGACTGGCCTGCCATGTGGCGATGACTGGACCAATGCCGTGGCAGCCACGTGGCACTTCCTGCTAATGTGGTGCCACGTGTCAATGACGTGGCTCGATGACATGGACGCCACGTGTCGCTGACTAGACGGACACGTGGCACTGGCGTAGATGCCGCGTGGCTCTGGTTGATGGCCACGTGGCGATGACGTGGTGGCGCGTGACAGGCGCGTGTTTGACACGCATTGCCTCCCACTCACCTTCTTCTTTCCGCCCTGCGTGGGGCGCGTGCTGGCGTGTGAGAAGACGCGCCGGCTTCTCTTCACGGCTGGTGGGGCTCGTGCTGTGACTAGGCCTCACGCGCCATCTTCAGAAGACGCGTGAGGGCGCGTCTGACATCTTCTATGGCTCTTCTTTGCACTTCTAGACTCCTCTCGTCGAGGCTTTGCTCCTGGTATGCGCAAAAAATTGATTTCGAGCAACTTTATTTCTAGACAATTTCGAACAACATACTGGTTTTGTTCCGAAACGTCACCGACGAGGCTCTGATACCACTTGTTGGGATCTGGGATCCCGCCCAAGACCTTATAGAAATCATAGCAAGCAGAAAAACACACCCACACAGAAGGAGACACCATATTTAATGTAGTTCGGCACTAAGGCGTACGTCCACGGGAGAGTAACCGATTATCACTATAACATGAAGAGATTACAGAAAGATTACAATAGAAGAGGAGCTCACACTTTCCTCACTCAGCCACTCTCCCGTCTCCCTCGCTCACACCGAGAGAGACGGTCTCTCCGCCTCACATTTCTCACTCTTTGTTGTTCTTGGTTCTCACATTTTCACCTCTCCTCTCAACCTCCATTTATACACATTGGAGGAGAGGTGTGATTGGTCACCACCTACCCCTATGATGGCTTCTCCTCAAGTGTCAACAATGGTGGCTTGTCCACATTTCTTGCCAACCAATTGTCAACCATGGTAGCTGCCATTCTTGACTTGGTTGGTTGCCTTCCCATGGGTGAATTCAACACCAGTGGGATAGAGAAGAAATGCATTAAAAAAATTCCGATTAAGTAATAACTAAAACTAAATCAAAACTCGGCCAAAGGTCAAAATTTGAGTGGCAAGAACTTAAAAGTAAAAACCGTAAAAAAGAACATATGAAAGCATCAAGCTACCAAACCAATTAGTCCTTTTAAAATAGCAAGGCTAAACTTGAACTAGTGAGTTGAAATGAGGATGAATCATTGTGTAACACAACACTCACATTCACTAAGCGATAATATTAAAATAAAACCTAACTTAGTAAGTTGAAAATTGAAATCATGCATGCCACAAACCTCACGAATAAGTATCTTTTGTGTTATACCATCCAATGCCACCTTGGTAACATCTTGTTCTGCAGCCTTTCGTTGTGAAAATACATCATGAGATGTATATGATGCTACATCCACCCGGACAGTGGACCTAAACCTTGGCTCATGTGGAACTCCTCCTTCATTAATTGTTTCATAAACTGGAAGTGGAATGGATGATTTTTGAGTGTACTCTTGCAAACGGTTCTTGTACATTGCGAGTTTCGGAGGATCTAGCAATATTAAGGAAAACATATTATCACAAAATGCACTTCAAGCTCCCAATGAATAGTTTGTTTTCAAGTATTGGCATCTGTAAACTATTTTCAAAAAGTGCATAATCAATAAATTAGAACCTTTCAAGTACAACGATGAGCAACCATGTGGAAACTTTTTTGTCATTCACACAACAGCTCTAAGGAAGTCCAGCTAAGTAACTTAGAACATTCAACACACGGTTTAGTTTGGTCAGTTTGGTTTACCCCTGAATCGTCAACTGGCTGCCAACATTCGGATGGAGAAAATGTCAACCTGATTCGACACAAACCCCTTTTGAAACCGTCTGCTTATGCTATTCGGTTTCACAGTCGGTATATGTTCGAGTATCGGGTTGGACCTCAACTCAAATGCAACTGAGAATCTCATTAGATCTACCAATTTGGTAAACAAGAACGAAAAAAAAAATAAAAAATAGAAACAAATTTATCACTTTCCTTCAGCATAGATTTATTAATTTGGTAAACAGAAATAAAAGAAAACCAAAAAATTTGAAACAAGATCTCGTAATCTAATATTACATTTAGTGTTTTCGTTGGACTTCCTTAGAGCAGTGTGAGAGAGAGAGAGGGTGTGAGTTTTCGAGAGAGAGGCTTTTCCTTGGACTTCCTTAGAGCAGTGAGAGAGAGAGAGTACCTGCAGCACTAGTGTAAGAGAGAGAGAAAGCGAGTCAAAAATCTGAGGAAGTGGAGGGAGATTTGAAATGGTGGGACGTAGTCGTATTTTGAGTGATGTCATTAATGAGATAGGCTAGCATGCGCGTGGTGCGTAGAGCTCTGCTCGCGCTTGCTTCTTTTTTTTTAATCCTTCGGTTACAAAAAAGATAAAATGATTTTTTTAATCTAATAAAATATCACATTTAAGTAGTTGTTTGGGATAAACTAAATAAGTGTATTTTTTGACTTTTTATGAAATATGGGTTCAATATTGGTTAGGTTTGAAGTGATATATAAGATGATGTGACTTAATTAGGATAATGACTTTTCGAGTTTTTTAGATTATGCCAAACCAAGCCTTAAATCATAATAATTTTATTTCTTTTATAAAAGTAAAAAAAATTAACAAATTTATTCCAAATAAAAATTTTTAATACCAAATTAAAATAATCAAAAAGACAAAAAAACTAAGCCATATTCCAAGGGCCTGTTTGGTAATGTTTACGTTTTCAGTTTATATTTACAAAAAATTGATAAATTGGTTTTTGTTTATTTTTAGAAAAACATAAACTACAAACGCATTTGGTTTAGAAAAAATGTTTAAAAAATTTTAAAAATATAAAAAAGAGTGAGAAATGGCAAGTGGTGGCGGGTGCGCTGACTGGCCTGCCATGTGGCGATGACTGGACCAATGCCGTGGCAGCCACGTGGCAGCTGACGTGGTGCCACGTGTCGATGACGTCGCTCGATGGCATGGACGCCACGTGTCGCTGACTGGACGGACACGTGGCAGTGGCGTGGATGCCGCGTGGCTCTGGTTGATGGCCACGTGGTGATGACGTAGAGGCGCGTGGCAGGCACGTGTTTGACACGCGCTGCCTCCCACTCACATTCTTCCTTCCGCCGTGCGTGGGGCGCGTGCTGGTGCGTGAGAAGACGCGCCGACTTCTCTTCACGGCGCGTGGGGCTCGTGCTGTGACTGGGCCTCACGCGCCATCTTCAGGAGACGCGTGGGGGCGCGTCCGACATCTTCTGTGGCTCTTCTTTGCACTTCTAGACTCCTCTCGTTAAGGCCTTGCTCCTGGTATGCCCAAAAAATTGATTTTGAACAACTTGATTTCTGGACAGTTTCGAACAACATACTGGTTTTGTTCCGAAACGCCACCGACGAGGTTCTGATACCACTTGTTGGGATCTAGGATCCCGCCCAAGACTTTATAGAAATCATAGCAAGCAGAAAAACACGCCCACACAGAAGGAGACACCATATTTAACGTGGTTTGGCAATAAGGCCTACGTCTACGGGAGAGTAACCGGTTATCACTATAACATGGAGAGATTACAAAAAGATTACAATAGAGGAGGAGCTCACACTTTCCTCACTCAGCCACTCTCCCGTCTCCCTCGCTCACACCGAGAGAGATGGTCTCTCCGCCTCACATCTCTCACTCTTTGTTGTTCTTGGTTCTCACATTTTCACCTCTCCTCTCAACCTCCATTTATACACATTGGAGGAGAGGTGTGATTGGTCACCACCTACCCCTATGAGGGCTTCTCCTTAAGTGTCAACAATGGTGGCTTGTCCACATTTCTTGCCAACCAATTGTCAACCATGGTAGCTGCCATTCTTGACTTGGTTGGTTGCCTTCCCATGGGTGAATTCAACACCAGTGGGATAGAGAAGAAATGTATTAAAAAAATTCTGATTAGGTATTAACTAAAACTAAATCAAAACTCGGCCAAAGGTCAAAATTTGAGTGGCAAGAACTTAAAAGTAAAAACCGTAAAAAAGAACATATGAAAGCATCAAGCTACAAAGCCAATTAGTCCTTTTAAAATAGCAAGGCAAAACTTGAACTAGTGAGTTGAAATAAGGATGAATCATTGTGTAACACAACACTTCCTTTCACTAAGCGATAATATTAAAATAAAACCTAACTTAGTAAGTTGAAAATTGAAATCATGCATGCCACACACCTCACGAATAAGTATCTTTTGTGTTATACCATCCAATGCCACCTTGGTAACATCTTGCTCTGCAGCCTTTCGTTGTGAAAATACATCATGAGATGTATATGATGCTACATCCACCCGGACAGTGGACCTAAACCTTGGCTCATATGGAACTCCTCCTTCATTAATTGTTTCATAAACTAGGAGTGGAATGGATGATTTTTGAGTGTACGCTTGCAAACGGTTCTTGTACATTGCGAGTTCCGGAGGATCTAGCAGTATTAAGGAAAACATATTATCACAAAATGTACTTCAAGCTCACAATGAATAGTTTGTTTTCAAGTATTGGCATCTGTAAACTAATTTCAAAAAGTGCATGATCAAGAAATTAGAACCTTTCAAGTACAACGATGAGCAACCATGTGGAAACTTTTTTGTCATTCACACAACAGCTCTAAGGAAGTCCAGCTAAGTAACTTAGAACATTCAACACACGGTTCGGTTGGGTAAGTTTGGTTTACCCCTGAGCCGTCAACTGGCTGCCAACATTCGGATGGAGAAAATGTCAACCTGATTCGACACAAACCCCTTTTGAAACCGTCTGCTTATGCTATTCGGTTTCACAGTCGGTATATGTTCGAGTATCGGGTTGGACCTCAGCTCATATGCAACTGAGAATCTCATTAGATCTACCAATTTGGTAAATAAGAACGAAAAAAAAAAAAAATAGAAACAAATTTATCACTTTCCTTTAGCATAGATCTATTAATTTGGTAAACACAAATAAAAGAAAATCAAAAAATTTGAAACAAGATCTCGTAATCTAATATTACATTTAGTGTTTTTGTTGGACTTCCTTAGAGCAGTGTGTGAGAGAGAGAGTGTGTGAGTTTTAGAGAGAGAGGGTTTTCGTTGGACTTCCTTAGAGCAGTGAGAGAGAGAGAGTACCTGCAGCACCAGTGTAAGAGAGAGAGAAAGCGAGTCAAAAATCTGAGGAAGTGATGGGAGATTTGTAGTGGTGGGACGTAGTCGTATTTTGAGTGATGCCATTAATGAGATAGGCTAGCATGCGCGTGGTGCGTAGAGCTCTACTCGCGTTTGCTTCTTTTTTTTTAATCCTTCGGTTACAAAAAAGATAAAATAATTTTTTTAATCTAATAAAATATCACATTTAAGTAGTTGTTTGGGATAAACTAAATAAGTGTATTTTTTGACTTTTTATGAAATATGGGTTCAATATGGGTTAGGTTTGAAGTGATATATAAGATGATGTGACTTAAATAGGATAATGACTTTTTA